ACTACTACATTTGTCAGCCTGAAAAGAACTACTGGAAAGGGTTCTTTAAACTAAAAGAGGAGATTACCATCTGTGTAACCAGAGGTGGCCAGAAATACCTAAATATGTCTCATCTTAAAGCACATCCTCTCCAGATGTTAATTTGCAGCGGGGATGTGTGTTCCAGCATCTGCCAGTCACGCTTTATAATGTGGTTCTCCATATCCAGCAAAACCATATTTTTTTTGTGTGTGATTTTTCTCTACAAAACGCCACAGGGCAGAAGACCCTCCCCCAAAATAGAAATCTGTTGCTAAAAGCACTTATCCATATGTTACTCACAGGAACACAGGTGACTGCGGGCAGTACAGACGTGTGTCTGTACGGGAAGGGGGGTGTCCGTGCGCATTCCTCCTAGGCAGGGGCAGTGGGAGGCTAGCTGGGACAGCAGCAGCTTGGTCTTGCTCCAGTGGGTTGTCCGGTGATTCCTGCTTCCCCTAAGGCTGCCTCTCATTAGCATGAATCGGGGGCAGGGCATAAAAGACTCAAGTTCGTTTTGAGTCTGGAAAAACTACTTCAAAATGACAACGAAAGTGTTCTGGCTCCTCTGCTTTGTCATGAGATCATCTTCCAGCTCAGCGGCCGGTAAGTCTGTCCACGATTGAATCAGGGCTGGGGCACGTTTGCCTTTGGTGTCAGGGGAAGCTCAACGTATTGCTACAGATTCTTGCCTGAGAAGCCCTCTTCAGCTGTACGCTTTTCAGCAAGGGGTAGCAGTAGGCACATAAGGGCTCAAGAAAGAAACATTCCGACATGTTTATGGGATGGGAATGTAAATTGCAATATTGGACTTGTCAGCATTTGAAAGAATTAAGAGCACCTGCCAAAAGCAGGCAGTTTGCTGGTGCTAGCCATCATTCAGCAATTGGTTTGACTTGATTCTGCATCTGGGATTTTTTTATTTGTATGTGACCTTTTCCTTTTAGTCTCCTTCCTCTCACCTGTAAACTTCAGATTTCTAATCTATTTCAACATGCTCAGTGCTGTCATGTGTGCCTGCAGCAAGCTGTTCTAAAAAGATTTTTTTTTTTTTTTTTAGTACCTCATTGACAGAGCAGAAATAAGATACACATCTGTTCCATTGGGAAGGAGCTGATTATGTTGCAGTTGTATTTCTTAGGTTGCAAGAGGCAAACAGGAATATGCTGCTATAGGGGAATGACCCTCAAGGTCCTGAACAGATTGAGTAGAGAAAAAATGAACTGTTTCTTGTTATGATCCCTGACTGAGAAGGCATGATAAACTGACAGAAAAGTATACTTATGAATAGCTAAGTCCAAAACACCTGTTCAGAGTTCACAGCTTCGCATTGAAACATCTCCAAAACACCCTTGCCTATTGCTTTCTTTAGCTTGGACTTCTTCCACCCCATCCTTCATGGACATTCTTTTGACTTTATGTGTGGCCAGCCCAAATATCAGGGAATCTTTCCCATGACAGCAGCTGGTGAGAGCAAAGGGGAAGAATTGGCAAGGTCAGCAGTTGAGTCAGTTACAGAAGATAAACCAGGACGTTGTTCATCTGTGTATGTCAAATATCTCTTTTCACATGAGGAGTTAGGATCAGCCTCCTACACGATGCTAACCACAGGCAGTGGACACCCAGACAGCGGCTGCGTGTGGGTGAACTGTTTTAAAACTGTGCTGGCTAGCTAAAGGCATGCAGTGAAGCACTAAAGTAAAAGAAAAATGAACTGCAAGAGGAAATTTCTCTCTTCCCAGGCTAAACAGAAAGTCATTTTGCTTTGTGAGTTCCAAGTGATTAAGGTGAAGGTATAAACCAAGGCCTAGGTGACTGTCCAGTTTGTGTGAATGATGTCATTAAGCCTTTCCCTTTCTCACTAGATTCCCAGACACTTCCTCTCTTTCTCAACCCTTGTCCTCTCAACTTAAGAAAAGCCTTGAAATAATTGTTCCTCAGCAGCAACAGCCCAGCGACCAGATACGGTACTGCTACTGTACAACTCTGTAGTGCAAAGCCAGAGATCCAAAACTGTGGATAAAAATCTTTCCAGTAGCATTCAAAGCCCAAAGCGGCCGAAGAGTCCAGATGACATTGTCAATAAGGCATCCCATGGATGGGAAAACCAAAACGCTCTGTTGTCACGATCTTTTAAACAAGCATCCCAAATGTCAATGTGAACCTTGCTTCCTCAGATGCTCCCTGGAGATTCAGGCTTTTGAGAAAAGGGTTTGTTTATAAGTCATGTTTTTAATTTGCAACAATAATAAAGCACAAATGCAAATCTCCTGTGTTTTGCTCACACAGCTGCGCTGTCTGTACAGGGCCTTCCACGTTGGAATACAGAAGAGTGAGGAGCTCTACTATATTGTGTCTGTTAACTGTTTATCAGTTCTACTGTTATTGTTGAAGGCCTCTCTTATGGACTACAGCCTCAAATCTGCCAGGCACTTCCCATTCAGAAGCGCATGGAATAAACAAATCACAACGCTAACTCACCCTCTCCTTTTTTTGTTTGCAGGATCCCTGCCCTACGCTGACAAACCCAGTTGGACTCTCAGCAAAGATGCTTATAGTTCTGCAGACGCTGCACTGGGCCAAGTCAAACTGCCAGCCCGGGGCACCGGCAGCGCCGGAGAGAATCACGCGGAACGCTGGCGTCTGCCTTCCGCTGACCTGCAGCAGCCGAAACCTCCTGAAATCATCTCCCTCTCGTCAGACAAAAAGAAACGCACCCAGCCTTCTCTAGAAAACAGCACAGGGCTGAGGAAGCACCTCTTGCAGTATGGAGGGGCCCTGTCCCTGGAGAGCCTGACCGAAGGGCCTTCTCCTGCCTCCTTTGACTCCAACCATGCAAACAGAAAGCACGCGGATAGATGGCTGGCCGAGGCTTCCAACAGCGTGTCGGCTCACTTCCATCACACAGCACCTTCCTATCAAAAGATGACATCCTTAGTGGGCGTTCGTCCTTTTCCAGACTTTGGAGCAGTGGAGTCAGATGATCCCAACGCTCTGAATCACTTCAACCGACCAGGCAAGATGATCCCCTATAAACATACTGATCCTTTGAAGAAGATCATCAAACCCTCCTGGCTCACCAACCGTCAGCCGTCCAGCTTGCCGTACCAAGTCAGCGCGCTGGAGAAAGGTAAGGGGACAGACTGCTCTGGCAAGGGATATCGTGAACATTCCGAAGGCTGGGTGGCCTAGTTTGGATGAAATATCCCAAAAGGGCCTGTTGCTGTCCCTCAGCCTATGTGCCTGTTCTAGATGGTGATAAGGAGAAGGTGTGTCTGACCGAGTGCAGGAAGGAGAGAGACGAAGTGGAGGCCTACTGCATGAGTGAATTCGGTAAGTCATGTCCTCCATGGACCACACAGACAAGGCAGAGACCCTCTTTGTTCATCCATTACTGGCATTTCACCTCTGCTTTTAAGATACTGTGTCTTACTGAGTATGTTAAATAACTCCTAAGTACACCGAAAGGACCCATCACAGCTCTTTATAAACGTACTATGACAAA